GCCCGCGTGTGACCATTCTCAGGTGCTTCGTGCCATTGGAAACTTCTGCATCGGAGCCATCGCCGTTGGAATCGTGATCGAGATCATCGTCATGTGGCCGATCCAGAAGCGTAGCTATCGCGATGGCATTGACAACTTGCTCGTGTTGCTCATTGGTGGCATTCCAATCGCCATGCCCACGGTGCTTTCGGTGACGATGGCGATTGGCTCGCACAAGCTCTCGCAACAGGTGACGACCCTGATCAGTTGCAACGAATAGCTTCGCGAGGGGTTATAAACGCGTTCTAAAGCTCCTGTGTTCGCATTGCAGGGAGCCATTACGAAGCGTATGACCGCTATTGAGGAGATGGCTGGCATGGACATTCTGTGCAGTGACAAGACTGGTACACTGACGCTCAACAAGCTGACCGTTGACAAGTCAATTATCGAGGTAAGTAACGATTTCCGGAAATCGTTATCTACATACAGTAATGCATTAGGGTTGTATTAAGGCTTAAACCCTTGTCATACCGCTGCTGTGTGCAGGTCTATTCCAAGGACGCGGATCAAGACCTTGTTCTCCTGCTGGCTGCGCGTGCTGCTCGCACAGAGAACCAAGACGCCATTGACGCTTGCATTGTGGGAATGCTTGCTGACCCCAAGGAGGTGAGTGTCTGTCATCGCTGTTCCGCGTTCAACAAGTCCATTCGCCCTGGGAAATAAGTTTTATGTTGTAACCATATCTGCATTGCGCTTGTGCAGGCTCGGGAGGGTATCACGGAAGTCCACTTTTTCCCCTTCAACCCTGTGGACAAGCGCACGCAAATCACCTACACGACGCCTGATGGCAAAATGTACAGGGCGTCGAAGGGTGCGCCTGAGCAGATCCTCGACCTCGCCTATAACAAGAATGAGATCGCTGCTCGCGTGCATGCCACAATTGCTGGGTTCGCTGAACGTGGTCTTCGGTCTCTCGGCGTTGCTCGCCAGGTGAGCATAAAATACCTCTTTTTGATTTGTTTTAGAACTTCAAGATGACAGTGCAATTTTTGTGTTACGTGTAATCTTCCTTCGGCGGTATTGGTGCACTTGTGCTGTTGCTGATTGACGTTCTACCCCGTCTCGCCAATTGTTCATTGCAGGAAGTCCCTGAAGGCGTCAAGGACGCGGCTGGTGGTCCGTGGGAGATGGTAGGCCTCCTTCCATTGTTCGACCCTCCTCGCCATGACAGTGCAGAGACCATCAAAGAGGCCCTGAAGCTTGGCGTGAACGTGAAGATGATCACTGGTACGTCTCAAAGGACTGGAGATGTTTGGAAAAACATATTGTCATAAGTAACTCGAGAACCTACTGGGCATGCCCTTAACACTGAGACGTAGAAGAGTGTTTGACTTTGTTTCTGATGATGTTCTGGTATGCTGCTGTTGATTCTGATGCATGAGTTGACCAAGCAAGTGGAATATCCATGCTAACTAGCCTGGCATCTTAATTTTGCAGGTGATCAGCTCGCCATTGGCAAGGAGACAGGCCGGCGTCTAGGCATGGGAACGAACATGTACCCATCCTCTGCGCTTCTGGGCCAAGGAAAGGATGCCTCCTTGATTGGCGTCGACGTGGCAGACCTTATTGAGAAGGCCGACGGGTTTGCCGGCGTCTTCCCAGGTGGGTTATCACGTTTTAGTTTCAGTATTTTCTGCATAGAATTGGCAAAACAAATGAAAGCAGAAGTCACAGATTTTGTAATGAAAGTTTTTAAACATTCCTGCTCTTTTTGCAGAGCACAAGTATGAGATTGTGAACCAGCTGCAAAAGAAGAAGCACATCGTGGGCATGACTGGTGACGGTGTGAACGACGCCCCTGCTCTCAAGAAGGCAGACATCGGTATTGCCGTGGACGACTCCACAGATGCTGCTCGAAGTGCTTCGGATATTGTCCTCACGGAGCCTGGTCTCAGCGTTATCATCCATGCGGTTCTCACCAGCCGTTGCATCTTCCAGCGCATGAAGAACTACACCGTGAGTGCACGAGTTGGCATTTTTAAAAAAAGTTCTGATTGGATGAAGGTTTCTGTGAAGGTTGTTAGTAACTTATTGTGTCATTGACTGGCTTCCACTTACATGTCCTCCCCCTTCACTTCCTGATTCTGTTGCCTTCCCGCCATATTTTTTGCGTCTGCAGATCTATGCCATCTCCATCACCATCCGTATTGTGGTACGTTTGCCAAATTCCCCTTTACCAGACTACTGAGCAACGTTTTGTGTGGGGGGGAGGGGTGTGTGGGTGTGTATGTATGGGTGGTTCCAAGTTTGCCACTGAACATTTTCCATGCTTTCTGTTCCTTCAATTGATCTTTCACAATTATCTGTCCTTGCAGCTTGGCTTCATGCTCATCGCTCTCATCTGGAAGTTCGACTTCGCCCCCTTCATGGTTCTTATCATCGCCATCCTCAATGACGGTATGCTCCCCTTTATTCAGTGAAAACTCATTGCTCAATGCTTTGTATCCCCCCCTCCTTCCCCCCCCCTTCCTCACCCCACCTTTTCTAAGGAGCTCATTCCTGTTCTTGTTCCATTTTCTCCCATTCTCACTCGTATTCTGTATTCACCTCCATTTTCCCTCCTCCCTACCCCCCACTCCCTTCCCCTCACTCTCCAACTCCCCGCCTCCTTCCACCTCTCCTCCCTCATCCCTCCTTCTGGCTCCTCCCCCTGATGCAACCACCTGTTCTGCCAGGCACCATCATGACCATCTCCAAGGATAGGGTCCTTCCGTCGCCAACCCCGGACAGCTGGAAGCTCTCGGAAATCTTTTGCCAGGGCGTGGCGTTTGGGTCCTACCTAGGAATTATGAGTGTTGTCTTCTTCTGGGCTGCCTACGAAACAAACTTCTTTGAGGTAAGAGAGCAAGCTGGTATGTACACCATTCTCAGTCTCTCTTGCTCTCACCTTCCCGTCCCTTCCCCACCCACCCCCTCCCTCCCCCGCCCCCTCCCCCCCTTTCCCTCCCACTCCATGCCCATTCACCCACCTGCCATTTTTCATGCCCTTTTGTCATGCCTCCATCAACCCTTTGTCCTTCGGATCAACACCTGCTACTTCCCCCCCCCACACCCGCTCCCCTGTATTCCTGACTTGTTCTCTACTGTTTTATCCTACCCTTGATACCATGCAGCGAACCTTTGGTGTGGAGTCTCTTCAGAAACCCCCCAATGCTGATCCCAACGGGGAACTCACTGAGTCACAGATGAAGCTCATGTCTGCGCTCTACCTGCAAGTCTCCATCATCTCCCAGGCGCTCATCTTTGTCACTCGCTCCCAGAGCTTCTCCTTCCTCGAACGCCCTGGCCTTCTGCTCATGGTGGCCTTCGTTGTCGCTCAGCTGGTACGTGGTTTGGTTCTCTTGATGTTGGTTGGACTTGTGCATGAAAAGAGATGAAAGGGGACGGACAAGGGGGTGAGAAGATTACAAGTCTGCTTGATTTGCGCAAAGAAAGTAGAGATTAAAGTGGAAGTAAGGAGATGTGAGGTGAAAATGAAGAGGGGAGAAGCAGGTGAAAGATTAAGGCAAAGAGAGATTCAACTCTTTTTTTTTTCACATTTGTTGCATGTGTGGTGCCGGGTGATGATGATGGTGGTGCTGATTCGGTTGGTGCGGATGATGATGAATCGTGTGGCATTTGTATGATGTGGGGGATGTTGGATGTGTACATGCAGATTGCCACCTTCCTTGCAGTGTATGCCAACTGGGGCTTCACTTACATCATGGGATGCGGCTGGGGATGGGCTGGTATCGTCTGGCTCTACAGGTGTGTGTTCTGTGCACCATCCAACACACATCCAATGCGTACTAAGTCCCTTCCCTGCAGTTAACCTTTTCTGACCTCCATTGCTGTGTGTTTATGTCTGTACAAAGCTCTGGAACCTCATGTACCCTCATAGATTGCTCTTCATCTGAAACCTCCTGTACCCTGTGTTCCTATCATGTGGCTCCCCCTTGTACAGCCTGGTGACATACATCCCTCTGGACTTCATCAAATTTGCCGTCTCCTACATGCTCTCTGGCAAGGCCTGGGATCTGCTTACAGAGAACAGGGTCACGTTCACCAAGAAGGCCAACTTTGGTATCGAGGAGAGGCAGGCACGGTGGGCCACGGCACAGCGAACCCTCACTGGGCTCCAGACCGTTGCTGCTGACGAGGCTCCCACGGTCCTGGCTGTGCTTGGCACTGCTGGTGGTGCTGATGCAGCTGAGGCTGCTCGCCGTCGTGCAGAAATCGCCAGGTAAGAAGCCTTGCAAAAAATCCTTACCATTTATCTCCATTGAAGAGACAGGTTGGGAAGAAGGTGGCCTTCATTTTCTCATAAGTTACTGGTCCTAATTTACTGGCTATGTCTTCTCGTGGTGTTAACTTGTGTTGCAGGCTGCGGGAGGGTTTGACGCTCAAGGGTCATGTGGACAACATTGTGAAGCTCAAGAACATCGACGTGGATACCATCCAGCAATCCTACACTGTCTAATTTTTGTTATGTTAACCTTAAGGGCCAGAACAGTTGATTATTTTTGGTGGAATTCTTCACCTTGGTTTTTGAATCCGGCATTTAGGTTTGGCACGCAACAGCGCATGGCAGTGGCTTCTGCCTTTTTGTAGTTGAAGTTGGTGATACAAGCAGCTTGAATGTGAAAATTTGGTGGGTTAATAAAGGTTTTGGCCTTACTGACATATGCTGTGTGCTCTCTTGGATTGGAATGTGATTATGATACAGTACTGTTGACAGGCAGGAACTACTTCGCATTTTCGTTTTCACGGCTGCGATGGGTATGAACAATTAAGTGCCACACTTCGGAACATGAAACAGTGGCTTTGGGTGTGCCAAAGATATAAACGTCATTACGCGGTGTTGTTGCAAGCAGAATTCAGAGAGCACCAATTTTACCATTAAGGAATAACATCTGCACCAGAATTTTCCTCTGAGCAAGGATGCTGTAACTTGTTTGAAGTCACCTCATACGGTAGCATAATTAAGGCGTTCCTGCTGTGGGAACACCCCCCTTAGCAGCTGCTCCATTACCGATGGTACTAGCATCCTGCTGACCCACCAGCCTCTGCAGCAGCAATTGGGCTCGCTGCAGCAAGCGCGATGTGAGGCCGGGGCGGCGAAGAGGCGCCGGGTTGAGTGCTCTAATAGAGTTGAGGCAAACTAGAAGCGTACCACCTTCGTGAAGCAACACCTGAGGTAGCATTTGTAACGAGAACACGTGGGAAGGAGAGGGGAGCAGGGGAGATGTGAGGTCCGGGTGGTGAAGAGGCGCCGGGGTGAGTGCTCTGATTAAGTTGAGGCAAATTGAAAGGGTACCACCCTCATGAAGCAACACCTGAGGTGTAACCAGAACAAGGAGAGGGGAGCAGGGGAGATGTGAGGCCGGGGCGGCGAAGAGGTGCCGGGTTGAGCGTGCTGATTGAGTTGATTCAAAACACGAAGCATATCACCCTGTGGAACACAAGTGCTGAGAAGTGTTTCGAGTTGCATTTAGAACACACCCTGCCCCACGAGCCAGGAAGGTATGCATCCAAAAAGTGTTTAGAATCGAATCGTACCCCACCCGAACCCACCCATATCCACCGCAATCCACCCCAGCCCACCCAACTGCACACACCGTGAGCCAGAGAGGCATGTGCCCCAGAAGGGCGGGGAGGAGTGCGAGCAGAATGCATGTGAGTGCGAGAGCCACGCTCTGCTTCACCTGGTGTGGAGGAGGGCAAGGATGGGGTTTGAGGAAAGGGACGGGAGGAGCACAGGCAAAGGGAAACAGAGGGAGGGAAGGAATGGCCGGGAGGAGTGCGAGCAGAATGCATGTGAGTGCGAGAGCCACGCTCTGCTTCACCTGGTGTGGAGGAGGGCAAGGATGGGGTTGGAGGAAAGGGACGGGAGGAGCACAGGCAAAGGGAAAAAGAGGGAGGGAAGGAATGGCGGGGAGGAGTGCGAGCAGAATGTAAGTCAGTGCAAGAGCCACGCTCTGCTTCACCTGGTGTGCGCAAGGGCAAAGGCAAGGGCAAACACAAGGATGGGGTTGGAGGAAAGGGCAGGGACGAGCACACTCAGCAACTTCGTGTCTTTGAGTAAACTCATATGCCACTTCAGTCCCATAGGCTCAATACCGGTACCTCACATGAGCATGGTGTTCAATAGAGAAATGTTAATCATCTAAGTCTGTGTGTGTGTGTTCCTGAGGAAAAATGCTGTTCTTACAATGAGGGTGGTTTGCCGAGCCTTGGCTACTAGGAACGGGAGCTCTGAGATATTGTCCTTCAATAGAAGCACGTCTGCTGCTGCCACTGCTGTTGCACTCGCTCGCTCTGCCAGCACCACCCCAACCTGCCATGCGTGACAAAAAAGAATGTAGAGCATTCACAGAGGGTCCTTTTGTCAGAAGCACGTCTGCTGCTGCCACTGCTGATGCTCTCGCTCGCGCTGCCAGCACCACCCCAACCGACCGTGTGTGACAGAAAAGATTGTGACAAAAATGTGGATTGAGAAAGGGTGACACGAACTCAATTGTGACATATCAGTTTCCAGGCAGGTGTGAGATAAATTTGAGCAGCAGGAAGGGAGTAGAGAAGGGAGCAGAGAAGGGAGCAGAGAAGGGAGCACAGATGAGGCTTGAAGATAGCAAAAGGAGAACCCTACAGCATAAGTTATGTGAACGAAATATACAAGAGGCGCATGGATGGCAGAGCGTTCACAGTATAGTTCTGAACCCTCTGTGAATGCTCTGTGCAAGAGCCCCAAAAGACCCATCTACAGTGGGTCGTACAGTGGGCTGCACGAGTTTGACAAAAGACTTACCGTGGCAGCACAGCAGCCAGAGATATTGAAACCACTTTTGAGAATTCTCAGAAGTGATTTCAATATAGCTGGCGTACAGTGGAGTGGGCAGCACGAGTTTGACAAAACACTTACCGTGGCAGCAGCCAGAGCAGGCGCGTCGTTGATCCCATCCCCCACCATCAGCACGCCTCCCCTCCCCTCCCTCCCCATCCTCCCAGTCATCTCCTCAACCGCCCTCAGCTTATCTTCCGGTCTCAACCCCGCCTCAACTTCCCCTCCCTCTATCCCCACCGCTGCTGCTACCCTGTGTGCCGAAGCTGCATGGTCCCCAGTGAGCATTTGGACTCTCAGCCCCCCCTGCTGCTGCAGCTGCCGAACCACTTCCTTAGCTCCAGGCCGAAGCTGATCTTCGAAGTGAAAGAGGGTTACCTTTTGCCCCACTGCCAAAGCTGCTCGGATTAGGTCGCTTGGCGGGAGAGTTGGGGGTGGTGGTGGGTTTGACTGGGATACTGATGGTGTGTCTGCTGCTGCTGCTCCTGATGCTCGTGCTGCCTTATCTCTGTCAAACCCATCACCACCCTGTACTGTTCCTGCTGCTGCTCTGCTCGCCCAACGATCCTCTGCCACCTCAGCAATGAAATCCAGGGAGCCAATGCGAGCCTCGTGCGGGCCCCACCTGTCGCTCTATGATTGGCCAAGAAAGGTGGAGGGTGGGGGAGCAAAGTGAAGGGAGGAAAGAGTATCCACAGTCATGAGGTGGTGGAGAGTGGTGATGATGGGTGATGAATCGGTGTAGGGAGGCAAAAGTAGAATATACGCAAGAGTACAATAATCGCAAAAAGTAAAACAAAATCAAAGTAGAATAAACGCAAGAGTAGAATTAATGCGAAAGTAGAATAAAATCAAAAGTAGAATAAACTCAACCATTAACTCAATCAGCACCGCACTGCAGTACAAGTCACAGCATACCTTCACACCGCACTGCACCGCAGCGCACCGCACTACATCCATCTGTATCGTATCACGCACCTCGCCAGGCATGCTGGAAATGGTGGCTGTGAGCCCTCGCCCGGGCACCAGCTGCAGCTGATCCACATCCCTTTCACTCAACCAACACCGCACTGCACCCCACTACAATTTACAAAAAACCTTCACACCACACTGCACCGCAGTGCACCCATTTTCACCTCGCCAGGCAAGCTAGAGATGGTAGCTGTGAGCCCTCGCCCCGGCACCAGCTGCAGCTGATCGACGCTCACCCCCGTGAGAGTAGCTCTCCTGCTGTCCGCGTATTCCCGTAAGGCCCTGTCAGGGAGAACACAGGGGAAAAAGAGCAGAAACAGAGGGGAGTGAGTGAGCTTTCGCCCCGGCACCAGCTGCAGCTGATCCACGCTCACTCCTGTGAGAGAAGCTCTTCTGGTGTCCGCATATTCCTGTAGGGCCCTGTTGGGAGAGAGTGGGGACGCACGAGAAACGAGGTAGAGGGGGGAAGAGGGGGAAAAGAGGGGGGTGAGTCCTCGCCCCGGCACCAACTACAACTGATCCACACTCACTCCAGTCAGAGTAGCTCGCCTGCTGTCTGCATCCTCTTGTAGCGCCCTGTGAAGGGGGGAAGGAAGAAGGGGGACGAGAAGGGAAGGGGGTGTTGGCAACGGCTGGGATGTGAGTCCTCGCCCCGGCACAGCAGCTGACCCACGCTCACTCCGGTCAGAGTAGCTCGCCTGCTGTCTGCATCCTCTTGTAGCGCCCTGTTGGTGGTGGGGGTGGGGAAGAGTGGGGAAAAAGAGCAGGGAGTCCGAAAGGGGAGCGGGGTAAGCCCTCGCCCCGGCACCAGCTGATGCACCTTTTGATGCACCTTATATCATTATGGGGTGCATAGCTGCTTGCTCGAGAGCAGCAGATATGTATGAAGAAGTGTTTTGCGACGTCTCAAAACACTTCTTCATACTGGGAGCGGGGTAAGCCCTCGCCCCAGCACCAGCTAATGCACCTTATATCATTATGGGGTGCATAGCTGTTTGCTTGAGAGCAGCAGCGACTCCCTCCCAGTGCCTGTCTGTCCAGTCTTGCGTTTTGAGACGTCTCAAACTCAGTGCCTGTCCAGTCTTGACACGGCTTGCTCGCACTGCGGCACTCCACCACCACGCCTGTCGAGTTTTGACACGACTCAAAACCCCTAGTGTAGAAAGTTGATTTTTGAGACGTCTCAAAAATCAACTTTCTACCACCACGCCTGTCGAGTTTTGACACGACTGAAAACCCCTACACCCACACCCAACGCACCTGGCAATGGGGTGCGTGGCGGCTTGCTCGAGAGCAGCAGCCACTGCCAGTGCCTCCGCCTCACAGCTCGCACTGCTGCACTCCACCACCACGCCTGTCGAGCCTTGACACGACTCAACATTCCCACACTCACCCATTCAACGCCCAGCCGAACGCACCTGGCAATGGGGTGCGTGGCTGCTTGCTCGAGTGCAGCAGCCACTGCGAGCGCCTCTGCCTCACAGCTTGCACTGCTGCACTCCACCACCACTCCTGTCTCCTCCCACTCGTGACTGTGTCTGCGCATTCCCCCTGTCCCCTCCATTGCACAGTCTTCCCAGAATTTCTCGCTTTCAACGAAATTGGGAGAGGAGGACGAGGAAGAGGCGGATGAGGAGGAGGAAGAGAAGGGATAGGAGGTGGAGGAGGAGGGAGAGGAAGGTGTGGAGTCGGAGGGAGGGACGGGGGAGGAGGGGGTGAGGAGGGAGGGAGTGGTGTGCGGTGCGTGGGAGTGCAGAGGTTGGATGAAGCGCAGGGCGAGTTGGCCGGTGGTGAGCGTGCCGGTCTTGTCAAACGCCACTGTGTCGCACGCTGCTGTGGCGTCCAGGGCATGGCCGCCCTTCAGTAGAATGCCCTGAGCGGGGGAAGACAGGAGTAAAGTAGAGAGGGAGCAGGGAAGACGGTATGAGCTAACTAGAAACACATCCCAACGTGTTGCTGATGCTGTGGCGTCCAGGGCATGGCCGCCCTTCCAGAGATTCTAGAGTCGTCTCACCTTGCGCGCACATGCCGTCAAAGCACAGAAGTAGGCGAGGGGAGCAACAGCTACAGCACAGGGGGACGCCGCCACCATCACTGCCAGTCTGCCAGTGCCCGGTACAGTGACCCCCTCACCCCTGGCGAGCTCAACACGACTTCTAGAGCTGCTAGGACTTCTAGAGAGTCTCACCTTGCCCACGCATGCTGTCAAAGCACAGAAGTACGCGAGGGGAGCGACAGCAAGAGCACAGGGAGATGCCGCCACCATCACTGCTATCGCCCGGTACAGTGACCCCCTCACCCCTGGCGAGCTCAAAAACGGCCAGCCGAACAGCACCGGGCCTAGCACAGCCAGTCCCGCCGACAAGGTATTTTTTAGAATTCTCAAAAAATCCCCGGAGTGTTTCTAGGAACTCACCTTGGCTGCACAGGCAGTGAGAGCACAGAAGTAGGCGAGCGGAGCAACAGCGAGGGCACAGGGCGACGCCGCCACCATCACTGCCAGTGCCCGATACAGTGACCCCCGCACCCCTGGCGAGCTGAGCAACGGCCATCCGAACAACAGAGGGCCTAGCACAGCCACTCCCACCGACAATCCCACCACGGCTTGACTGTATTTCTCGGAGAATTTATCCAGCCAGCGTTGGAGAGGCGGTTTTTGGGACCTGGCTTGCTCTGTGAGCTGCATTATGCGAGCCACGGTGGACTCGGACCATTTCCGGGAAGTTTCCACGACGAGGAAGCCGTCGATGGTGCGCGAGCCGCCCGGGAGGGTGTTTCCGGGAAGCTTCTCGACAGGGTGGGCTTCGCCGGTGAGGTGTTCTGTGGTGACGAGGGAGCGGCCGAAGCGGACGGTGCCGTCTAGAGGGACCACCTGATGGGTGGAGGAATGAGATGGGGGAGAAGAGACGAGGAGAGGGGGAGCAATGGCCTTCTAGTGGGGTGCTTCGTGCATATCACCCCATGAGGTGCTCTGCGGTGACGAGGGAGCGGCCGAAGCGAACGGTGCCGTCTAGAGGGACCACCTGATGAAAAGGGAAGGAGCAGCAGCAGCAGCAGAGGGGGAAGGAAGTGAATAAATAACACCCACTACATATCACCTGGTGAGGCGCTCTGTGGTGACTAGGGAACGGCCGAAGCGGACGGTGCCATCTAGGGGGACGACCTGAAGGGTGGGGGGAAAATATGAAAGAGCAGAGCACCAGGGAAGGAAGAGAAAGGTAGGTGCCTGTGAGGTGCTCTGCGGTGACGAGGGAGCGGCTGAAGCGAACAGTGCCGTCTAGAGGGACCACCTGATGGGTGGAGGAATGCGATGGGGGAGAAGAGACGAGGAGAGGGGGAGCAATGGCCTTCTAGTGGGGTGCTTCGTGCATATCACCCCATGAGGTGCTCGGCGGTGACGAGGGAGCGGCTGAAGCGAACGGTGCCGTCTAGAGGGACCACCTGAGAGGGGGAGGGGAGATAAAGGGAAACTTAGGGCAGCAGCAGGAGGAGGAGGAGGAGGAGGGGAGGGGTTGGTTGTTGTTGGGTTAGAACGGAGTCCCCAAGTCGTCCCTCTAGATGGTAGGGCAGCACTCACTCACCTCTCCTGCTTTGAACAGCACCATATTTCCCACAGGCACATCTGCTAACGGCACTTTGGACCATGAACGAGCAGTCAAATCGTTCTGAGGCACATAGACACATGCACTAGTCTGTCTCCCTTTCACCTCTTTCACCCGTAGCACTCACCTCGCCCGCTTTGACCAGCACCATAGCCCCCACCGGCACATCTGCTACAGGCACTTCGGACCAGGAGAGGGCAGCCAGACCCGGAAACACCACCCCGCCTTCTCTCCTTTCGCTCCCACCGTCGCCGCCGCCGCTGCTGCTGCTGCTGCTGCTGCTGCTGCTGCTGCTGCTGCTGCTGCCGTTGCTGCTGCCGTTGCTGATGCTGCTGTTGCTGCCGCCACTGGCACCGTTTTCAGAAGCAGCAGCAGCAGTAGAAGCACCGACAGAAGAGAGGCACGAGGGATTGATGAGCAGAGCAGTGGAAGGGTTGTTGTCCTGCAGGGAGCGCAGGTCGCCCAGAGCCTTTTCGGTGAAATAATGCTCCGCTGGTGGGTGGGTGGAAAAGAGGATTGGTCATGGTAAGGGAAGAGGCACGATGGATTGATGAGCAGAGCAGTGGAAGGGTTGTTGTCCTGCAGGGAGCGCAGGTCGCCCAGTGCCTTCTCCGTGAAATAATGCTCCGCTGGTGGATGGGTAGAAGTGGGGACGAAGGGGGGGCGGGGGAGGGGTAACGGAAGGGAAGGGGGAGGGGTGGATGAGGAGAGCAGGGGAGGGGTTGTTGTCCTGCAGGGAGCGAAGGTCGAAGACAGCCTTCTCTGTGGAATAACGCTCCGCTGGTGGATGGGTGAGTAGATGTGAGGGTTGGACGGGCGGGCGGGCTTGTGGATACGTGCTGGCTTGTGGTTACGTGCTGGCTTGTGGTTACGTGCTGGCTTGTGGTTACGTGCTGGCTTGTGGATACGTGCTGGCTTGTGGTTACGTGCTGGCTTGTGGTTACGTGCTGGCTTGTGGTTACGTGCTGGCTTGTGGTTACGTGCTGGCTTGTGGTTACGTGCTGGCTTGTGGTTACGTGCTGGCTTGTGGATACGTGCTGGCTTGTGGTTACGTGCTGGCTTGTGGTTACGTGCTGGCTTGTGGTTACGTGCTGGCTTGTGGATACGTGCTGGCTTGTGGTTACGTGCTGGCTTGTGGTTACGTGCTGGCTTGTGGTTACGTGCTGGCTTGTGGTTACGTGCTGGCTTGTGGTTACGTGCTGGCTTGTGGTTACGTGCTGGCTTGTGGATACGTGCTGGCTTGTGGATACGTGCTGGCTTGTGGATACGTGCTGGCTTGTGGATACGTGCTGGCTTGTGGTTACGTGCTGGCTTGTGGTTACGTGCTGGCTTGTGGTTACGTGCTGGCTTGTGGTTACGTGCTGGCTTGTGGTTACGTGCTGGCTTGTGGATACGTGCTGGCTTGTGGATACGTGCTGGCTTGTGGTTACGTGCTGGCTTGTGGATACGTGCTGGCTTGTGGATACGTGCTGGCTTGTGGTTACGTGCTGGCTTGTGGTTACGTGCTGGCTTGTGGTTACGTGCTGGCTTGTGGTTACGTGCTGGCTTGTGGATACGTGCTGGCTTGTGGATACGTGCTGGCTTGTGGTTACGTGCTGGCTTGTGGTTACGTGCTGGCTTGTGGTTACGTGCTGGCTTGTGGTTACGTGCTGGCTTGTGGTTACGTGCTGGCTTGTGGTTACGTGCTGGCTTGTGGTTACGTGCTGGCTTGTGGTTACGTGCTGGCTTGTGGTTACGTGCTGGCTTGTGGTTACGTGCTGGCTTGTGGATACGTGCTGGCTTGTGGTTACGTGCTGGCTTGTGGTTACGTGCTGGCTTGTGGTTACGTGCTGGCTTGTGGTTACGTGCTGGCTTGTGGTTACGTGCTGGCTTGTGGTTACGTGCTGGCTTGTGGTTACGTGCTGGCTTGTGGTTACGTGCTGGCTTGCCCAACCCTCACATCTTTGCTGTGGTGGAGGATCGTTACGAGCTTGTGGTAAGGGTGGTAAGTTTTGAGTCGAGGCAAAATCAGGTGGTAACGTTTTTGCACTAATTCTAGAAGCAGAACGAGGAAGGGGGATGGGAGATGGCAGCGCACCTATATGGGAGATGGAGACCATGGCGAGCAGCAGAGTGCCTTCGAGTGTATTCCCCATGGCCACTGACGCCAGCGCTGCTGTTCACCCCGGACCCCCTGTATGGGCAATGAGTTGACTTTTGAGTCGACTCAAAAGTACCCTCGAGTGTATTCCCCGTGACCGCTGACGCCATGGTCTCCATCTCCCATATAGGTGCTCCGCTGCTGTTCACCCCGGCCCCCCTGTATGGGCAATGGAGGCGCACCTGTACGGCACACCTATATGGGTAAACGAGGCACACCTATGTGGGGTATCGAAGCGCACCTATATGGGAGATGGAGAACATAGCGAGCAGCAGAGTGCCCTCGAGTGCATTCCCCATGGCCGCTGATGCCAATGCTGCAACGGTCATGAGCACGTGGATGTTCACTGCCCCGCCTGCTATATCCACCAATGCATCCATGGTTGCTGGGATCTGGTAGGGAAGGAAAGTGTGGAGAGGGAGAAGAGAGAGTGTGTTCATTCATGCAGAAAGTGTGGCTGTGGGTGGGGAACGGTCATGAGCACATGTATGTTCACTGCCCCGCCTGCTATGTCCACTAGTGCATCCATGGTTGCTGGGATCTGGTCGCGTGGGGATTGGGAGGAAACGGGAAGCAGCTGAAACCAGGAAAAGCAGCCCACATGCCGACAGTGCTGCCACGGTCATGAGCACGTGGGTGTTCACCGACCCTCCTGCGATATCCACCAATGCATCCATGGTTGCTGGGATCTGGGGTGGTGGAGAGGGGTTACAAGATTTATAGTTCATTGACCCAGGGGGGTGGAAATGGCGTGTCTGCATTCCCCATGGCCACTGATGCCAAAGCCGCGACAGTCATGAGCACATGGATGTTCACTGACCCGCCTGCTATGTCCACTAGCGCATCCATGGTTGCTGGGATCTGGTGGCGTGGGGATTGGGAGGAAACGGGAAGCAGCTGAAACCAGGAAAAGCAGCGCACATGCCGACAGTGCTGCCACGGTCATGAGCACATGGATGTTCACTGACCCGCCTGCTATGTCCACCAATGCATCCATGGTTGCTGGGATCTGGGACGGAGGGTGGAAAGCGAATGGAGGAAAAAGAGAGCAGCTGAGACCAGAAACAGCAGAGCACGTGACGCCAGAGCTGCAACAGTCCTGAGCACTGGATGTTCACCGACCCGCCTGCTATGTCCAGTAATGCATCCATGGTTGCTGGGATCTGAGGTGGGTGGAGAAGGGTGAGATGCGGTTAATACGTTGTTAATTCACAAAGGTAGTGGGACGGTGGGAGAAAGGTCTGTGCATTGCACAGTGCATTCACCAAGAGAGAGACACTGGGAGATAAGAGACACGTGCGCTTGCAGAAGACTTATTTTGAGACGTCTCAAAATAAATCTTCATACACGAGACATTGGGAGATAAGAGAGACGTGCGCTTGCAGAAGTGAGAGAGAGCGCAAAACCATTTACCAGGAGAGTGAGATTGTGATTGCAGAATTGTAGAATTGTGGGAGGAGATTAAAGGTACAGAGAGCAGCTTACAGCAGTGAGAGGGAAAGCTGCAGCAACAAGCCCCGTCTGCAGCATCTGCACCACCAACGGCTGGGATTGCATCTGGACAACGAGCGGCACAAGCAGCGGCACAGCGTAGGCAGCAAGGCAGAGCGCGAGGGAGAGAGAGGCGAGGGGCGCGCTCTCCCTCATGCGGTCGGCCAGAGGGGCGAGGCGGAGGAAGGAGAAGAGCGAGAGGAGGGCGCGCTGGGCTGCGTTGAGGGTGGTGGGCGATGGGCAGCAGTGGTGGTGGTGATGGTGGTGGCCGTGGCTGTGGGAATGGTCGTGGGAGTGGGCATGGGCATGACTGTGGTCATGCGCATGCGCATGTGCATGGTCATGGTCATGGTCATGGGAGTGGGTATGGGCATGACTGTGGTTGTGGGCATGGTCATGGGTGTCGTTATGGCTGTGTGCATGGTCATGCGCATGGTGGGCATGGGCATGGTTGTTATGGCTGTGGTTGTTATCGGCATGGGCATGGGCATGGGCATGGGCATGGTCATGGTCATGGTCATGGTCATGGTCATGGTCATGGTCATGGTCATGGGCATGGGGTTGCTGCTCGCCTTGATGATGGTGTTTATGATGGGACGCATGTGCTTCGGGTGCATGTGAGTGCGTGTGCTCATGATGCTCATGATGCTCATGATCCTCATGATGCGCATGGTTGCTACGGTCGTGGGCATGGCTATGTGCATGGCCATGATGCTCATGATCATGATCATAATTCTCCGTGTGCTGATCCTGATGCTCACGATGGTGCTTATGGTCATGGTGATCCTCCTGATGCTCACGATGGTGCTTATGGTCATGGTGATCCTCCTGATGCTCACGATGGTGCTTATGGTCATGGTGATCCTCCTGATGCTCATGATGGTGCTTATGGTCATGGTGATCCTCCTCATGCTCATGATTGTGCGTATCAATGGCAACAGCACTCTGAGCATGTGCATGGCTCGTATGCCCATGCCCATTTTCATGGCCGTGCCCATGCCCATGATCATCCGGCCTCTCCTCATGCCCATGACCAATCCCTCTCGCCTTCGTCTCTCCCTGCCCCGCATTAGTCACCAAATCCCCAGCGCGAACGCCATCTGCACCACCAGCGCCTGCGCTACTGTGACATCGGATATTAGCACGCCTGCGCGCGCCGGCCCTCGCGCCCGGTACAGGCGTCCCCGTTATAAGCAAGCCCGACGTTTCGGTGCAGCTGCGAATCCCTGAGAGCTCCTGCTTTTGGTGGGGAACCAACAACCTTGGAGCTGGCAGGGAGGTGTTTTTATGATTTCTCGAAAACGGGTGGGAGAAAGTCGCGCGGAGCCTGCCCGGTGTTCGAACGGGCAGCGAGGAGAAAAGTCTGATTCCCGTGGAGCGGAGGTGCTGGTGAGAGGCTTGAGAGGGGACCGCGAATCGATGCGACTTGCTGATTCGACACGCCGCGACGGTGCTGCTGCTGCTGCGAGAGCACACGAGGGGCGCGTGCGACGCGTGCGACGTGTGCGAGAATCGTGTCCGTGCTTTAGGCTTGAACATTCTCGCTGCTGACCAAATCAACGGCGCGGCGCTGGCGGAACGAGACACTGACGCAGCCATGGCAACGGCTGCTGGTCCTGTGAGACTCTCTCTCGCTTTCGCTGCTACCTGTCTAACGAGGAGAGAGAACGAGAGGAATTAAGTTAAATGAAATGGAGGGGGATGGTGCCGACTGATCAGACGTCTCAGAACTTGACGGCCATGAATGGTTCTCCTGATACTAACTTCGTAGCAGCTGGGATGACATACGAATCCACGGCACTATTCGTGCATCAGGAACGGATGAAAACGTGATTCGCAGTACCCGGTCCTCGCGAATGGCGTGCGTGGTAGTGTAACCAGTGAATCGCGCTAATGCGACATTACTGGAGTCCATGGATTTCGGAAGTCGAGTTCACGACGCGCCGCGTGGCAGCCATGGCTGCCAGATGAAGCGCAAAATTCGGGTTTCTAGGGCATCAGGAATCACAAAACAAAGACTTGTGGATGGGATGTGGCAGAACCTAATAGGTCGGCAGCCATGGCGGAAACATTTTAGCTCCAGAAAACCTTAGGGGGGGGGAAAGGAATCGTACGGGACGTACAAAACAAAAGCGCAGGTGTTGGTGATCAGGTACATTCACGAACGGAGCTGGCGAAATAATTTGCGCTTCGTCCAGTGCGGATTAGCCTTCGCGACAAGATTGATGGTAACAAGGTTGAAGTGCCAGTTCAATCGCTGAGTGCATTTTGTGTAGAGTAAATCCCATGCCTGCAACTGGAACATCAATCAGATGCCAGGTCAGCTAAAATAGTTCCGTTTGAATCCCAACTGCCAATCAGCAGAACTAGCCTAGTTTCTAGCCAATCGAATCTTTCTCGAACGTGACCCAGACTTCTGGACAAGTGGGGGAAAAAATCCCAACCTCCGTAAGAAAAAGTGTCGGCCCAAGAGAAGCCCCATATACCGAAACAGCTACTCGAGGTAATTCCGTCATAAGCTAAAGAGATTAACTTCTACTGACCTAACACAAACCATAAGTGTTAGTCTTCTAGGTATATGGACCTGTAGCAAGATTAGTTCATGCGTCGGCAACACATCCTGCCCTGACAGCAATCCATATCTGATGTGAAGTTCCTTGCCCAACAGCTTATCACTCGTCAATGGTTTGGCCAAGCCATGATCGACCCCGGGAGCGAGATGTGTTGGTACGGGAATTGATGCTTGCACATCTTAGAAGCTTCTGGAACTCGGGCAGGCTGATTCTGCCATCCCCGTCCGTGTCGGCTTCTGCTATCAGGTTATCCAACGGAAAATTAACTTGGGCAGCCTGGTGTATTGACAAGGTGGTAAAATATGGGAAAGGTACACAGATGTGCTTGCATTTGTTAACATGAACTGGGGAAAGCTTAGCCCCTACCAGTGCAATGGAGAGGCAGGAGCAGGCCGGGGGGGGAAGAATGTGTGAAGCACTGAGACTTAATACAGTTACTTGTAAGCCACTTATCACTCGCAGCTCCTCTGCATCGTGTACCTGCCGTTGTCGGGGTCAGCACTAAAATGTCAGCCGTTGAGCCGTTGCCGTTGGACTTGAATACCCGTTAACAAGTCGGCAGTCTCTCACCATGCGCAGCTCCTCAGCATCAATGTACCCGTCGTTGCGCGGTCAAACTGAAAGGCTGCTGACAACCAGGATGAGACCTAACTGTACCGCACTCAACACATCCTCACCATGCGAAGCTCCTCAGCGTCGATGTAACCATCGTTGTCGCGGTCAAACTTGGCAAAAGCCGCTCGCGAGCGCTCCTGCCACTTGGTGGAGTCGGCCTCCTGAGATAAGATGGAACCTACCTGTACCGCACACAACCCCTTACTTACCATCCTCAGCTCCTCCGCATCGATGTACCCGTCGTTGTCGCGGTCAAACTGGGCGAATGCGGCTCGCGAGCGCTCCTGCCACTTGGTGGAGTCGGCCTCCTCCAGCTGCTGCACGTGCAGCGTTGCTGCCACAAATTCATCAAAGTCAATAATCCCGTCACAGTTGGTGTCCATCTGGGGGCAGGGTGGATGGAGAGGGGGAAGAAATGAGGCTTATGGGATGCTCCTGCCACTTGGTGGATTCGGCCTCCTCTAGCTGCTGTGCACGTGCAGCGTTGCTGCCACGAACTCGTCGAAATCAATAATCCCATCGCAGTTGGTGTCCATCTGAGGGGGGAAACGGGGGGCAGGGATGGTTGGAGGATTCGCAAGGCCACGCAACGACAGAGGCACTGGGGCGTCTCAAAAAGGGAGTCCCAAATCCGGGTGTTCTCCAAACGGGGTCTGAGGGAATGCAGTAAGCCCTCGCTTGGAGAATTTGCAGCACGGAAGACTCCTTCTGAGGTGTCTCATGCCTCAAACCACGGAACGCATTGGCTTTGAGAGGCTAGGCTTTTATCATCTATCACACTAGGGGTGCTCACCGCTTGGAGGATCTGCAGCACTCTCGACTCCTTCACTTCAAATGGCAGGTCGTGACTTAGTGCCTGAGATGGGGAGGGGCAAGAAAAGAGAGAAGGAAAGAGAGGAGGGAAGGGGGGAAAAGACAAAGGGCCTGATGAAGGGGATAAATAGAAAGAGGGAATTTTGAGTCGACTCAAAAATCGGCTCACTACACGCAGTGCCTGATGAAGGTGATAAATAGAAAGAGGGAACGGAAGAGAAGGGAGAGAAAGGGGAGAGAGAAAGAGGGGAGGGAAAGAAGGGGTAAAGTGGGGACGGGGAGAAGGGGAGGAAGAGGGGAGGGAGAGAAGGGGGAGGGAAAAAGAGGGTAGGGAGAGAAAGGGGAGGGGCTGGGATCTGTGAAGAGGAGAGGGGGGGGAGAGATACAGGAGGTTGACTCCTTCACTTCAAATGGTGGGGGCTGTGACTCGATGTATGACAACGAAAAGAGGGGGGGGGGGGGGGGGGGGGGGAACGAGGGAAACAGAGGAAGGGAAGAGAAGAGACCAGAATAGCATTTAAATCTCGCTGGTCTTCCCCCCTCTCACGATTCCTGAGAATTCTCAAAAATCACTCCCATCTCGCTAGTCTTCCCCCCTCTCACGATTCCCCCATTTTCCTCCTCCCTACCCCCTCACCTGTCTGATCTCATCGACCGTGATGGTGCCATCCTTGTTAATGTCCATCGCATTGAACTGGTCTCTCAATGCCTGCACCTCCAGCCCTTGGCCCACCCCAGCCCTAAACCGCGTGCATTGAGGTGTGTTTTGAGGCGCCTCAAAACACACCTTTTAGCCCACCCCAGCCCTAAACCCACCCACCCACTCTCCACTCACTTCTCCTCATCCCTCGTTCCCATCCCTCCTCCCCCCCCTCACCTGTCTGATCTCATCGATCGTGATGGTGCCATCCTTGTTGATATCCATCGCATTGAAATGGTGCCTCAGCGCCTGCCATCTCAGCTTCTTCCTTTCATCTGACCCCCTGGTCCCCGTTTCTCCCCTCTCTCCTTAACCTCCCACCTTCCATTCCCTCTCCCCATCGCCCCCCTCACCTGTCTGATCTCATCAATCGTGATGGTACCATCCTTGTTAATGTCCATCGCGTTGAACTGATCCCTCAACGCCTGCACCTCATTCTCCTCCAGTGTTGTCGCAAGGGCCTGTGGGAAGGCAGAGAAGGGAGAGCGTGGGCGAGGGTGTGTTGGGTGGCGGGGATGGCGAGCAGGAAGGAAGAAGCCGGGGATTGAGCAGGGCAGAAAAGTCCATTGCTGCTCAAGTGGACCAACTGACTGAGTTGAGATGGTCCTTCAAAACCTGCACTTCTGCCTGCCCCCTCTTCACCTGCCTGCCTGCCTGCCCCCTCTTCACCTGCCTGCCTGCCTGCCTGCCCCCTCTTCACCTGCCTGCCTGCCTGCCTGCCCCCTCTTCACCTGCCTGCCTGCCTGCCTGCCCCCTCTTCACCTGCCTGCCTGCCTGCCTGCCCCCTCGTCACCTGCCTGCCTGCCTGCCTGCACCCTCTTCACCTGCCTGCCTGCCTGCATGCCCCCTCTTCACCTGCCTGCCTGCCCGCCTGCCTGCGTGCCTACGAGCGTGCGTGCCCGCGCTCATATCTTGAGCGCCATCTGCTTGAGGCGAGAGTACTTGACGAACTCGCGCATGTTGGACAGCACTGCTATGTCCAGCGGGACATGGGGGATGATCCCTCTCACCTTCAACACCACACCTGCCTGACGGTGTGCGTGCTTGCATGTGTGCCTGCTTTTGTGTGCTTGCCTGTGTGTGTGCCCCCTCTCACCTTGAGCGCCATCTGCTTGAGGCGCGAGTACTTGACGATCTCCCGCATGTTGGAGAGCACTCTGTGACGTCTGAGTGATGGCTCAATGAACCAGAGAGACCAGCCGTGTGGCACTGCCCATCAGCTACACACACAGACATCCCCCATCTCACCTTGAGCGCCATCTGCTTGAGGCGCGAGTACTTGACGAACTCGCGCATGTTGGACAGCACTGCTATGTCCAGCGGGACTGACGAAGCATCGCCCCCCTCCTTCACCCACTTGTGTGCTGAAAGGTGGGGGGGTGTGGGAGGATTGTAAGTGGCCAGGAGAGTGGGGAGGCCGTCACGGGCTGTTTGAAAGCATGGTCGGAATCTGTTGGATTCGAAACGCAGCAAGCCTGCTAAGAGTAACGATCTGTAGTACTAAGTCTACTAATCTGAAAGTGTAGGGCTGTTTGAAAGCATGGTCCTCTGTGCAATGCAATGTCTAGAGGCTCTGATGAGGTCCTCTGTGCAATGCAATGTCTAGAGGCTCTGATGAGACGACATGTCGCCTCCCTCCTTCACCCACGAGGCTTGGGCAGCAATGGGGCACTCACACAAGGCTTGGGCGGCAGTGGGGCACTCATACAAGGCTTGGGCGGCAGTGGGGCACTCATACAAGGCTTGGGCAGCAGTGGGGCACTCACACAAGGCTTGGGCGGCAGTGGGGCACTCATACAAGGCTTGGGCGGCAGTGGGGCACTCATACAAGGCTTGGGCGGCAGTGGGGCACTCATACAAGGCTTGGGCAGCAGTGGGGCACTCACACAACGCTTGGGGCACTCACACAATGCTTGGGCGGCAGTAGGTCATGCAGTCACACACACACAGCACATCTAGCAGGCAGCACGTTCACTCACACAAGGCTTGTGCGGCAGTGGGTCAGGAGCGGGGGTCCTTCTTGAGAAGCTTCTTTACAATCGCATGGCGGTGGTAGTCAGGATAGTGCTCTGTCCCCCCACCCCAAGGATGCACATGCGCTAACTCACACGCAACAAAGCACACTTTGCAGACAGCACGTTGACTCACACAAGGCCTGGGCGGCAGTGGGTCGGGCGCGGGGGTCCTTTTTGAGAAGCTTCTTGACAAAGGCCTTGGCGCTGGCAGTGCGGGTTAGTGCACTCACCTCACACCAAGCACACTTGGTACAGGATGCGCTCACTCACACAAGGCCTGGGCGGCAGTGGGTCGGGCGCGGGGGTCCTTTTTGAGAAGCTTCTTGACAAAGGCCTTGGCGCTGGCAGTGCGGGTTAGTGCACTCACCTCACACCAAGCACACTTGGTACAGGATGCGCTCACTCACACAAGGCCTGGGCGGCAGTGGGTCGGGCGCGGGGGTCCTTTTTGAGAAGCTTCTTGACAAAGGCCTTGGCGCTGGCAGTGCGGGTTAGTGCACTCACCTCACACCAAGCACACTTGGTACAGGATGCGCTCACTCACACAAGGCCTGGGCGGCAGTGGGTCGGGCGCGGGGGTCCTTCTTGAGAAGCTTCTTGACAAAGGCCTTGGCGCTGGCAGTGCGGGTTAGTGCACTCACCTCACACCAAGCACACTTGGTACAGGATGCGCTCACTCACACAAGGCCTGGGCGGCAGTGGGTCGGGCGCGGGGGTCCTTTTTGAGAAGCTTCTTGACAAAGGCCTTGGCGCTGGCAGTGCGGGTTAGTGCACTCACCTCACACCAAGCACACTTGGTACAGGATGCGCTCACTCACACAAGGCCTGGGCGGCAGTGGGTCGGGCGCGGGGGTCCTTCTTGAGAAGCTTCTTCACAAAGTCCTTGGCGCTGGACGACACATTAGGCCATGGCTTCTCCCTGAAGTCAGGCCGCTTCTTCAGCACCTGAAGGGTGGTTATGAGCGGTAAGGAACGGTTAGGAGACGGTGAGGAGCGGTATTGAGTTGTGATGAGTGGTGATGAGTGGTGGTGGGGAGAGGGGAAGGCATGGTGACGGGGACAAAGTCCTTGGCACTGGATGACGCGTGCGGCCATGGCTTCTCCCTGAAGTCAAGCCGCTTCTTCACCACCTGATTGAATATCCATGCCTGAGTTCTATCCCAGAAGGCCGCCTTCCCGACAGCAGAATGCACGTGATCACGCCGATGCTCCACATGTCACTCTCCCTCTCTCTTAACCCCCTCCCACCACTGTAGCTCTTTCCCTTTCATCTCACCTCATTGAAGATCTCCGCCTCCGTTCTATCCCAGAAGGCCGTCTTCCCGACAGCAGAATGTACGTGATGACCCCGATTCTCCACATGTCACTCTCCCTCTCTCACCTCCTACCACCTATTCCTCCCCACCACTCTCCCCCATTCTCCTCCATCACTCTCTCCCATTCACCCCCCCAAGTCTTTCCCCTCCTCACCTCATTGAAGATCCCCGCCTCCGTTCTATCCCAGAAGGGTCGCCTCCCTGACAGCAGAATGTACGTGATGACCCCGATGCTCCACACGTCACTCTCGGGCCCCGACCGCCGCTTTAAAACCGGAGGGCCAAGAAGGCCTACATTGGTTCAACCTTCCTAACTTCGGTTGAGTTTGGCCCGGGCACCCAAAATCTTGGCCAATTGCATTGCTCGCCCCAACCAACCTTCCTAAGGTTGAACTTCTTGGCCCGCGGGTTTTAAGCTCCTTTATCCCCCTCACCCCTCTCCACCAGCCCTCACCGCTCTCCACCTCTCTCACCTCGTTGAATATCCCCGCCTCCGTTCTATCCCAGAATGGCCGCCTCCCTGACAGCAGAATGTACGTGATAACCCCGATGCTCCACACGTCACTCTCCGGCCCCGACCGCCGCTTGAGCACCTCAGGTGCGACGTAGTAGGCGCTTCCCACCACGTCTGTGAAGTGCTTGCCTGGGGAGGGAAAAAGAGGAGAGATAAAGGGGGTTGTGGGGGTCTGTAAAGTGCTTGCGTGGAGGGAGAAGAAGACGAGGGGAGAGGAGATGGGAGAGTTGTGAGAAAGGAACACATGCGCCAATAGCACTCACACACCCGGCATTGCCATACCCACGTGCAGCACTCACCGGGTTTTCTGAAATCCGAGAGGCCAAAGTCGGTGGCTTTAAGGAGCGCGTCCTCTGCCTTGGACTTGAAGAGAAAGTTCTGAAGAGTGAGGTGGGAGACGGGCGGAAGGGAGAGGGGTGGAGGATATTCGGGAAGAGTAGGGGTAGAGGGGGAAGGGGGAAAGGGTGGGGGAGTAAGGGAGGAGGGGGAAAAAGGCAGGGAGGTGAATGACGCTGTGCGTTTGGTGGCACTTGGCCATGCCACTCAGCGACATTGTGTTGTGCGCCCTACGTCCCTCTTTCTTCACGCCCGTCCCTCCCCTTGCCTCGCCTTGTACCTCTCTCTCTCTCACCTCGGACTTCAAGTAATGATGCACGACCCCATGCAGGTGGCACTTGGCCATTTTTGAGTCCTCGGCATCCGGTGGTATGCGTCTCATGCCTCTCTGGATTCAAACCCGTCCATACCCTCCTTCTCTCCCTTTCATGCCCGTCCCTCTCTCACCTCGGGCTTTAAGTCGCGGTGCACGACCCCGTGCAGATGGCACTTGGCCACCACACTCAGCATCTGCCGCACCACCCCTGCTGCATCCTTCTCTGAATACCGGTTCTCCCGCCTGCTCGCATTTGAAGGAAAGAAAACACATACAAGTACAAAAAGGGGGGGTCGGGGAGGGAGGAGGGGGGCAAGGGGAGGGGGAGGGCGAGGGGGAGGGGGGTGTGGATGGGGAGTGGGAGGGTCGAGGGGGATGGGGATGGGGATGGGGATGGTGAGGGTGAGGGCGAGGGGGATGGAGCGGGCGAGGGGAAGCGACAGGGTGAAGGAGATAGCATGCCACAATCAACCATAACGGCTCATTATGCATGCTTCGGATAATACAGCTGACTTCCATTCCTCCCCCCATGCCCCCCCAACCCACACTCCCTGATCCCCCCATTCCCACTCCATCCCGCTATCATCGCCCTTCCCTCCCCTTGGTTGTCTCACATTCCGCCCCGGCGTCCGCGCCGTGCTTCCTTCGTTTCCAGTCCCCTTTTGAGTTTACTTCTCACTAACTTAATTTCCATATCCTTAGTTTTTTCTGTTCTACAAGCTTACTTGCTAAGGATTCGGTCAAGGAGTTCGCCACCCTCACAGATTCTGCCATGGAGGAAGGGAGGGGAGAGTGAGCGGATGGGGGGAGAGGATGGGAGAAGAGGAGAAGAGCAGTCAGGAGGGGCCGGAGAAGGGAGGAAAGGGGAGCAATCAAATGTAAAAGAGAGAGGGTGGGGGGAGAAAGAGGAGGAAAGAAGGGAGGGCGGTGGGAATGACGTGAGAGGATGCGTCATATCCGCCACAATGCACTCACTCCATGCAGACAGACATACACGAAGTCGCTGTTCTGAAACACATTAACAAAACTGCACCTCATTACACTCCATACCCGCTATAGTCTACTCCATGCAGATGTACACAAAGTCGGTGTCCTCGAAAACATCGATAAACGCACCACGTTGGGATGGCCCGACAGCAGCTTCATTATCGCCACCTCAGTACACTCCATACCCGCTATAAGCACTCACTCCATGCAGACGTAGACAAAGTCGGTGTCCTCAAACACGTCAATGAACTGCACCACGGTGGGATGGCCTGACAGCTTCATTATCGCCACCTCACTACCATACCCGCTATAGTGTCACTCCGTACCAGCTAATGCACTGCACTCACTCCATGCAGATGTACACAAAGTCGGTGTCCTCAAACACGTCAATGAACTGCACCACGTTGGGATGGCCCGACAGCAGCTTCATTATCGCCACCTCCCTCCGCACGTCCTCCACTGCTATAGGCAGCTTCATCTGTGGGCGGGGAGACGGTGGTTGGGGAGAGGGGGGAATGGGATGGGGGGGAAACGGGGGGGGGGGGGGAAGGGGACCGGAGAGAGTAGTGGGATTTGAGAACTGTGTTGAAACCGCAGCTTCATTATCGCCACCTCCCTCCGCACGTCCGCCGCTGCTATAGGCAGCTTCATCTGTGGGTGTGGTGGAGAGAATGAGTGGTGGGAGAGTTATGGGGGGAAAAGACGTTACATGTCGATATGCTACTAATCTCTAATTGTTTTTGTCGTTTTGAGACATGTCGAAACACATGCCACTCGCGTCATGATTCGTTATTAGCACCTCCTTTGAATACGCACCTGCCAATCGCGCGCCGGTAAATGTTGAATTGACCCAGCTTGCTCCTTTCACTCTCGCTCTGCGCAACTGCTTCGTTACAAGCACCTGCTTCATTGTACGCCTTCTTCGTTACACGCACCTGTTTCATTATACGCACTTCCTTGTTCTCGATCGCTTTCGCTGCCACCCGCTCGCCTGTGGCTAGTTGAATCGACTCGTACGTCGTGCCGAATTGCTTCATTATACGCCTGCCTCATTACACTCACCTGCTTCATTATACGCCTGCTTCGTTACACGCACCTGCTTCGTTATACACAACCTGCTTCTTCTCAATCGCTTTCGCTGCCACTCGCTCGCCCGTGGCTAGTTGAATCGACTCGTACGTCGTGCCGAATTGCCCGTGACCCAACTTGCTTCTTTCACTCTCGCTCTACCGCTTGCCTCATTATACGCCTGCCTTGTTACACTCACCTGTTTTATTATACGCCTGCTTAAAACGCACCTGCTTCTTCTCAATCGCTTTCGCTGCCACCCGCTCGCCGGTGGCTAGCTGAATCGACTCGTACGTCGTGCCGAATTGTCCGTGACCCAGCTCTCTGCCCAGCTTATAGTGCGCCTCAAAGTCTCGTTTATAGCCGAAGTCCGTTCGCAACCCTAACGGGATGGTCGTGTCGTTCTTGTCGTACTTGGCAAATTGTAACGCGGCTCCGTCGACTGCGGCAGCAGCACCCGCGTTATTTTCCGCTTCTTTCCCCGCTGATGTTCCTGTTGGTCTACTCGCATTTGCATCTGATCCTGCGGCTGCCCCTGCTCCTTCTGCTGCTCCCCCTGCTGTTCCTGCCGCTTCCGCGCCTCCCGCTCCTCCCACCCCATCTGAACCCTCATTTCCACCTTTCCCTGGACTTGACGGCCCGGCAGCTTTCACTTCGTCTGTACTTGCCGGCTTCGCGTGCACGGCAGCCGGAGCCGTCTGAGTTGCGTCGGCACCGGCTGGCGGTGCTTTGGACGCGTCACGCGGCCGCTCCTTGCTCTTCGACAAGCACGAGCCCATGCTGCTGGTTCCCTACTGGTTCCTAACCTAGCGCTCGCGCAGTAATTTAATAGTAGTGTTCGTGGCCTAGCGTCTATAGTCGCCGTATCAATAAATAAATACGGAACGCGCAAGCTCCTTTCTGACCCAGACAATGCCTGGGAACTGAGCTGAACAGTGCGTGCACCGCTGGTCCTATTTTTTGTCTACGAACGCAAATGTACAAGGTCAACGAAAACTCTACGATAACTTTTTCTAGAACCTTTCTGACCTAGATTGTGCGAGGTCAATCTCGGTTTCCGACATTGACGGGAAAATGAAAAGATGAAGCCAGCCGTTTCATTATTCGGGAGCACATCTCAAGTCCTCCACTCCAGTGCCCTCGATTTCGTGACTCAACAAGAGCAGGCGCTTTTCAATCCTCCCAGTGTCAGTGCGATGATGCGAGGTTAACGTTAGTGATAGTGCTCACTGCACAGTATACGGTAAAGTTGAGTTCACCTAAAATATACAAGGACACGGCTATTCTGTTGGACGCGAAGAGGAATCAGAGCACTAGGGCGCGTAACCATTTTGCATTTTATGATTTTGACGGACAGTCCGCTTAAACGAATTGGACGATCCACTTATCGAAAACAGGACCGTCCGATTGATTTTTTTGCAACTTCGGACTGTCCGAAGACAGTTGTGACATTTTTTTCCCTAATGTACAGTTTCGCGATCACTGTACAAGCGTTACGCATTACGCTCTCACTCACATATGTCGTTATCGAATCATTTCTGTTTATGGGTTGTCTCTGGTTGGTCAATGTCGATTCGTAGAGTAGCCTCGTACGTATTTGTTGGTGGACGAGGTGACTCGACAACTTTAACGTCGTCCTCCAATCGTGTCCAAGGACTTTCGGACAGTCCGTTTGGGATTCGGACTGTCCACGGTTCAGATTTCGGACCTTTGAAAGTGGGAAAAAGTGTCACTACAGTTCGTTTTGTTGGCGATGTCGCCAACACCTTAGCGAACCTACTTACGACATTGTGCGAATTTCGCCACTCGGACGGTCCACGGTTCGAACCGTCGGGTGCAAAATGGTTACGCGCCCTTAGTGTGTAGATACTCGAGAATTTAACAGGGTGAACTCTGGATCATGGAGGATGTCCGAACGAAGGAAACGACTTGTGACCGTTTCTGAAAGTCCAATTTGTGAGGTGGAGAGACTGTTCGGTTCAGGGAAACATCAGAATTGTTGACAAATGAACTGTTTGCGGAAGAACTGTAGGCGGAAAAGCTGTGGCCGGAAGGGCTGTGGGTCGTGGCCAGACGGAAAAAATGCAGGCGCAAACACAGTCGGCCGGTTAGTGTATCGTCGTCTTCTCAAAGACCATCTGCGAGGGGGACCAAACGGAACGGTTGCCGCTGGAGCAGAATCTGCCACAGTTTCTTCTGTCGAACTTTACTCCAAGAAACAAGTGGGACATGAAGGCTGGAGTGGCGTGCTCGAGAATTAACGGTGGGTCGCCGAATGGGCAGCTAAAACGTCTGCAAACGGTTGCTAGAAAAGAGAGAGCGGTAGGATTTGACTGGCGGGAGAGGGAAGGGAGGAGGGGATATCCCGGGAAGCTGTCTCAGGATGGAGGGAAGACGGGCCAATAGGAGGGGGGAAGGAAGGTAAATGGATGGGTGGTTGCGCGGGTGCGGGGAAACTGAAGGCTTTCGTAGCGCTCCGAGGATATTCGTCTTCCGCCGACGCACTTGCTTTGTGGGAGTTCGAGAAGAAATTCCGTGTCGCCCACTGGCAAAGTCCTTCGTGGAATTGGGGGGACCGTTTTATGTTTGACACTCTTACGTAGGCTCTGAATACCAATTGTTACGAGTGCAATTGAGTGAACGAACGAGAATTGCACTATCGAAGAAAGAATACAATGAGCGAAGGCATGAGCGAAGAATATATAGCGAAACTACAGTGGTAACGGTAATGGGCTGTGGTTGTCGCGTGACGGGCCTGGGACTGAGGTTGGGAAAAGTGTCGAAGCGGAGGCCCGGAGCGCGGGTTACCCGCCGAGCCGTGAGGTCGGGGTGCGACGTGCGAAGGTGGCGGGAGGATTGTCGATACGAGAGTTGCAAGTGGTAACGGTGCTGACTGTGGGGCTACAATGGTGTACGCGCTGAGCGGGAACGCGAAGTAAGGAAAAGGAATTTTCCTTACACTACCCCCCCCCCCCCCCCCCCCCCCCCCTAAGGAGGTCCTCCTTACGAAAGTGCGTGTACATCCCTGAAGTTTCGGCTGCGCAGATACTCGGTGAGGACGGGGTGGTTTTCGATTCTGTCCAGGGGAACCCAGTTGTCTTCGGTGGGTGTACGATCTTTCCAGCGGATCAGGAACTCGATCCTTCGGGGTCCTCGAGGGTCACGAACTCGGTGGCTCAGGATTCTAACGGGGGTGATGATTGGTTCAGTTGGTGGTCGTGTCATGCTGGCTGGGCGAGTGCGTGGCAGTTGGCTCGTGAACGGGACGTAAGGGCGAAGCAGGCTGACGTGGAATGAGGGGCTGACGTACCAGTCAGCAGGGAGGAGGAGGTGGGCGGTGACGGGTGTGATCATGTGGCTGATGCGAAATGGTCCACAGTATCGGAGGCGGAGTTTTGGGGTGATGGGCAGGCGGAGGTTCTGGGTGTCAAGTAAAACCAGGTCGTCGGGCCGGTAAGTGACAGGTCTGCGGTGGCGGTCGGCGTTACGTTTAGCGATGATGTTGGATTTTTTTATTGCATCTGCTGCTAAAATGGTGACTGTTGGGTCGTGGCGGATGGCGAGTTGTTGTACGCGAATTCGACGAGTGGCAGTTGCTGTTCCCACGTGGCCGGGTCGTCGCACGTGGCCCTGATGAGCTGTTCCATGGTCTGATTTGTCCGTTCTGTCTGTCCGTCGGTTTCGGGGTGGTATGATGAACTGAAATGTAGTCGCGTGCCGAACTGCTGCCACAGGTTCCGCCAGAAGTTGCTGGTGAATTTCGTGTCGCGGTCGCTGATTATTGCTGCTGGTATCCCGTGCAATCGAACGACGGTGGAGACAAAGAGTCGTGCTGTTTCTTTGGCTGTGATTGATTTTTTGCAGGCTGCGAAATGTGCCATTTTCGTCAATCGATCGACGACGACCAGGATCGCGTCGTTCCCACTCGCCCCGGCTGGTATGTCAGTAGATCTGCACTGTGGATGCCCGATCGATCCTGGAGAGGGTTACAGGCGCGTTTGCCTGGGGGGTTATGGGCGCACTGACCCGCTACTGAAACAAGCCATTTTATCCCAATGGTCTAGTGGTTGGGATTCTGACATGGTATCAGAGCGGTCTCGGGTTCGATTCCCGGTGTATGCATATGTAGGCCGTTGCCGTTGTGCTTAGTCCTGGGCCTCCTAGTGTGGGGGGGTGTCAGTAGATCTGCACTGTGGATGCCCGATTGATCCTGGAGAGGGTTACAGGCGCGTTCGCTTGGGGGGTTATGGGCGCACTGACCCGCTACTGAAACAAGCCCTTTTATCCCAATGGTCTAGTGGTTGGGATTCTGACACGGTAACCCCGTGACGAAGTCCATCGTCACCTGCTGCCAAGCACGCTCTAGAGGTGGTATCGGCTGCAACTGTCCTGCCGGCCGCTGCCTTGATGATTTCATAAGCTGACAAGTGGGACACGATGCCACGTGTCGTTGTACGTCGGTCAACATTTCCGGCCAGTAACAATACCGCTGCAGCTGCTGCCGTGTTTTTTCTACTCCAAAATGCCCCGAGGTAACTCCGTCATGTGCATCCTGTAACAGTAATTCTCGTAGCAGTGTATACTTAGGCACCCAAATGCGGTCAGTCCCGGCTTTTACGTAATAGACTCCCCTTGTTGCTGCGAACTTCTGCGAATTTCCTCCTGTGAAGAATGGGTCGGTTTGGTACCCGTGGGTAAATAGGCCTGTCACTAGTGGGCTTGTCTGGGCGAGTAGTATTGCATGGATCTGGGCGGTGGGGCGGGTCAATGCGTCGGTGATGTTCGAGGCTCCCTTTTTGTAGGTGACCGTGTAGTGAAAATTTGACTCGAGGAAGTCGAGCCAACGAATCTGTCGTGGGTTGAGGTGTGGCTGTGCGCGGAGCTACTGTAGTGATTTATGGTCTGTCCGTACTGTCCCGTCTGTGCCGGTCAAGTAACAGCGCCACACTTTGAACGCGTGCACGATCGCAAGCATTTCGCGGTCGTGTATCGGGTAATTTTTTTCGGGCGCATGCAGTTTTCGTGACTCGTATGCGATGGGTTGTAGGCCGTTGCCGAAGTCTTGTAGCAGTACGGCTCCGATGGCGATGTCGCTGGCGTCAGTAACTACTTCGAATGGGCGGTGTGGGTCAGCAATGCGCAGGACGGGCGGTGAACAAAGAACAGTTTTCAGGGCAGAGAAGGCAGCATGCTCTTTCTCCCCCCACGAAAAAGCGACCCCCTTCCGTAATAAGTCTGTCAGTGGCGCCGTCAACCGTGCCATGTCGGGGACGAATCAACGCACGTAGTTTACAAACTCTAAGAAACTCTGCAGTTCCGTAAGATTTGTCGGGGGGTGCCAGGCTTTTACCGTGTCTAATTTCTTTGGGTCAATTTCGATCCCAGCCTCCGAAATAACGTGCCCCTAAAACTCTAACCTGTCCTGAAAGAACTCGCACTTGGAACCCTTTGTCAGTAGCCGATGCTCGTCTAAAATCTTAAATACTGCTTCCACATCTGCTAAGTGTTGTTGCTTGTCGCGACTGTAGACGAGGATGTCGTCGAGGTAAACGATCACGCATTTATCTAAAAGCGGCCTAAACGCCTCGTTCATGGTCATCTGAAAAGTCGCCGGTGTGTTGGTCAGCCCGAATGGCATCACAGTGTACTCGAACGACCCGTACCTAGTCCTGAAAGCTGTTTTGGCGCAGTCCGATGGTTCGATCCTAATCTGATGGTAACCTCCCCAAAAATCTATTTTCAAAAAAACCTGTGCTGTTCGCAGTTGGTCGATCAGTTC